TGTGTGTGTGTGTGTGTGTGTGTGTGTGTGTGTGTGTGTGTGTGTGTGTGTGTGTGTGTGTGTGTGTGTGTGTGTGTGTGTGTGTGTGTGTGTGTGTGTGTGTGTGTGTGTGTGTGTGTGTGTGTGTGTGTGTGTGTGTGTGTGTGTGTGTGTGTGTGTGTGTGTGTGTGTGTGTGTGTGTGTGTGTGTGTGTGTGTGTGTGTGTGTGTGTGTGTGTGTGTGTGTGTGTGTGTGTGTGTGTGTGTGTGTGTGTGTGTGTGTGTGTGTGTGTGTGTGTGTGTGTGTGTGTGTGTGTGTGTGTGTGTGTGTGTGTGTGTGTGTGTGTGTGTGTGTGTGTGTGTGTGTGTGTGTGTGTGTGTGTGTGTGTGTGTGTGTGTGTGTGTGTGTGTGTGTGTGTGTGTGTGTGTGTGTGTGTGTGTGTGTGTGTGTGTGTGTGTGTGTGTGTGTGTGTGTGTGTGTGTGTGTGTGTGTGTGTGTGTGTGTGTGTGTGTGTGTGTGTGTGTGTGTGTGTGTGTGTGTGTGTGTGTGTGTGTGTGTGTGTGTGTGTGTGTGTGTGTGTGTGTGTGTGTGTGTGTGTGTGTGTGTGTGTGTGTGTGTGTGTGTGTGTGTGTGTGTGTGTGTGTGTGTGTGTGTGTGTGTGTGTGTGTGTGTGTGTGTGTGTGTGTGTGTGTGTGTGTGTGTGTGTGTGTGTGTGTGTGTGTGTGTGTGTGTGTGTGTGTGTGTGTGTGTGTGTGTGTGTGTGTGTGTGTGTGTGTGTGTGTGTGTGTGTGTGTGTGTGTGTGTGTGTGTGTGTGTGTGTGTGTGTGTGTGTGTGTGTGTGTGTGTGTGTGTGTGTGTGTGTGTGTGTGTGTGTGTGTGTGTGTGTGTGTGTGTGTGTGTGTGTGTGTGTGTGTGTGTGTGTGTGTGTGTGTGTGTGTGTGTGTGTGTGTGTGTGTGTGTGTGTGTGTGTGTGTGTGTGTGTGTGTGTGTGTGTGTGTGTGTGTGTGTGTGTGTGTGTGTGTGTGTGTGTGTGTGTGTGTGTGTGTGTGTGTGTGTGTGTGTGTGTGTGTGTGTGTGTGTGTGTGTGTGTGTGTGTGTGTGTGTGTGTGTGTGTGTGTGTGTGTGTGTGTGTGTGTGTGTGTGTGTGTGTGTGTGTGTGTGTGTGTGTGTGTGTGTGTGTGTGTGTGTGTGTGTGTGTGTGTGTGTGTGTGTGTGTGTGTGTGTGTGTGTGTGTGTGTGTGTGTGTGTGTGTGTGTGTGTGTGTGTGTGTGTGTGTGTGTGTGTGTGTGTGTGTGTGTGTGTGTGTGTGTGTGTGTGTGTGTGTGTGTGTGTGTGTGTGTGTGTGTGTGTGTGTGTGTGTGTGTGTGTGTGTGTGTGTGTGTGTGTGTGTGTGTGTGTGTGTGTGTGTGTGTGTGTGTGTGTGTGTGTGTGTGTGTGTGTGTGTGTGTGTGTGTGTGTGTGTGTGTGTGTGTGTGTGTGTGTGTGTGTGTGTGTGTGTGTGTGTGTGTGTGTGTGTGTGTGTGTGTGTGTGTGTGTGTGTGTGTGTGTGTGTGTGTGTGTGTGTGTGTGTGTGTGTGTGTGTGTGTGTGTGTGTGTGTGTGTGTGTGTGTGTGTGTGTGTGTGTGTGTGTGTGTGTGTGTGTGTGTGTGTGTGTGTGTGTGTGTGTGTGTGTGTGTGTGTGTGTGTGTGTGTGTGTGTGTGTGTGTGTGTGTGTGTGTGTGTGTGTGTGTGTGTGTGTGTGTGTGTGTGTGTGTGTGTGTGTGTGTGTGTGTGTGTGTGTGTGTGTGTGTGTGTGTGTGTGTGTGTGTGTGTGTGTGTGTGTGTGTGTGTGTGTGTGTGTGTGTGTGTGTGTGTGTGTGTGTGTGTGTGTGTGTGTGTGTGTGTGTGTGTGTGTGTGTGTGTGTGTGTGTGTGTGTGTGTGTGTGTGTGTGTGTGTGTGTGTGTGTGTGTGTGTGTGTGTGTGTGTGTGTGTGTGTGTGTGTGTGTGTGTGTGTGTGTGTGTGTGTGTGTGTGTGTGTGTGTGTGTGTGTGTGTGTGTGTGTGTGTGTGTGTGTGTGTGTGTGTGTGTGTGTGTGTGTGTGTGTGTGTGTGTGTGTGTGTGTGTGTGTGTGTGTGTGTGTGTGTGTGTGTGTGTGTGTGTGTGTGTGTGTGTGTGTGTGTGTGTGTGTGTGTGTGTGTGTGTGTGTGTGTGTGTGTGTGTCTATACTATATGAAAATATCTATAAGATATATATTTTTTATATTTTTACTATCCTGCAGTTATTTGTCTCTCATTTTCCTTAATTTCTCTACTTTTATCTATCACTCTTCCATTGCTACCCCTTCTAAAACAATGCTCCATAATTTATCCTCATGTTGGGAATATGGAGAAAGCCTTTAATAGGCAATGTATGGATGCAGATACACACACGAAGTTTTATACATATTCATTGCTATGTGCTTATGCATTTGTAGAATTTACAGACATATTTCTTATTTTTCTTCCCAAATCTCTCTCACTCACACTTACTTGCTGGTGTCT